GGGAGCTGCGAGAGCCAAAATTCGGCGGCGAGCGAGGGGGGGGAAGTGAGAAGGAGAAGGCCGTCTCAGACGACGTCGGGACTTCTCAGAAGCCCTCGCGCCTTCTGAGAAGTTTTTGTGGTGTCTTCGGGGAAGGCTCAGCAAACTTCTCAGGAGGCCGGGGGACTTCCGCGCCTTCTGAGAAGCCCCGCCCCTTCTCGCTTCCCCCCCGGGCTCACCGCCAAAAAACGGCGGAACGGCGAGGCGCCCGAGACTCCGAGGCCAGGTCACGGCGGGGGGACGTGCTTCCCCCGGCGGCGGCGCAGCGCCTTCGCTGGAGACGTTCACCCCCTATACCTCCGCGACCGCGGAGGAGGAGGAGGAGGAGGAGGAGGAGGAGACCTCGGGCTCATTGCGCCCAGCAAGACGGACGTCGGCGGAGAGGGCCGACGGGCGGTGCGTCCTGCCCCGGGCAGCTAGCATTAAGTCGGGCTTGTCCCTCTACAGGGGGGATATTCAAAAATAGCATTTTTAAAAAATAGTCTGGGGGTGTTGTTTGATACTATGTTTGGCCATTTGGGAGTATTTATGTTTATGTTTCATCCAAAATCCCCCTGTAGGGGGACAGGCCCGACTCAAAGCTAGCACACGACGTGCAAGTGTGTTCTGCGCATCCGCGCGTAGAGACACCCGGTGGAGGGCTCTGTGCCATCCGCGGGCCCCAGAAGTCTCGGCCCCTTCCCCTAACTGGGGGGCCGCAGAATCTTCCTGGTGGTGGCACTTGGGTCCGAGAGAGGCCCGTGGAGGCCGGAGGGAGAGCGCGGGGCTCGAAGCAGAAGGGGCCCAGGGGGTGCACCCGCGCATCCCCCCCCCCCCGTCCCACGAGCGGCGGACGTGGGGCGGAACATCTCGCGGCGCGGCAGCGTGAGAACCCCCAGTTGCTCTCGCCCGTCCATCTGGTTCCTCCTTCGCTGGGTCCTCCTCAATCTCGACCTTGCCCTCCTCCGCGATCCTCCAGCCTCCTCGAGGCTCTCAAGGTTTTGAGCGCCATTGTGCCGTTTTGCGACTCTGGGGGCGCCTTCGTCGTCACGGCCAGATTCCCTTCGAGATTTTGGGGGAGGTACACTGCTGAAAAGTTCTGGGGTGGGCGGAGGGCGATTGATGGGCCTTTTTCCCCCCCCACCACCAGCACCATGAGTTTAGGGGGAAAGGAGGAGGTGGAGGAGGAGGAGGAGGAGGAGGAGGAGGAGGAGGAGGAGGACCCTCTCCCCCTCCAACTTGTGGTGGTGGTGGAAAACAGGCCCATCAGCGATTCCTGAGGGTTGCGCAGGGCCCCAGACCTCCGCAGCGGCACGCTCGCCGCCCGAAGGGCTTCAAGCTCACAGACGAGATGATGGAGGTGCTGAACATGGGCGGCGGGAAGCCGTTCGAGGTCTTCCGGAAGGCGCCCGAGCAGCGGGGAGGGGGCGCCGAAGGAAGAGAAAGAGAGGGAGAGAGAGAGAGAGAGAGAGAGAGCGAGAGAAAGAGAGAGAGAGAGAGAGGGAGGATAGTGCGAAAGAGGGCGGGAGGGTAGAGGGGCAGGAGGAGGAGGAGGAAGGAAGGAAATAAGGTAGGAAGGAAGGAAGGAAGGAAGGAAGGAAGGAAGGAAGGTGAGGAGAAGGAGGGGTGGAGGAGGAGGAGGAGGAGGAGGAGGAGGAGGAGGAGGAGGAGGAATGGAGAGGAGGGGAGAAGGAATTGGAATGGGAGGGGGGAAGGGAAGGAGGAGGGCAAGGAGGAATGGAGGGGGGGAAGAGAAGGTCGGGAGGATCTGGTCACGAGGGAGGATGAGTGCAACATGAATGGGACAGGGGTGGACGGGGCTGGCGACGAGGGAGGATGAGTTCAACATGGATGGACAGGGGTGGACGGGGCGGGAGTGGGCAAGGGTTGTTTGTTCCCCCCTCCCCTCGATCGCCCAGTCGGGTCGTCGCGCGCGGCGGCGAGCCAGAGGGGCGAGGGCGAGGAGCGGGAGTGCGGGGCGAGTGTGCACAGGAGGAGAGCGTGGAGGGTCGAGCGAGGAAAGCCCGAGAGCAGCCAAAAAGCAGCAGGGCAAGCATGCTGCCTTCGGCTACCGGCACAGGGTTCGGAGAAGGGGTAAGGCAGCGGGTGGCGCGAGGGGTGACGGGGAGGGCCGTGCACAGGGTGGCGGACGTCCGCCGCAGGGTTGCTCGCAGCCAAACCGCCCAGCACGGCCCCGTCCTGGAGACGCTCGCGGCGTGTGCGACAGCACCTCCGGGAGCCAGTGCGTAGCAACCGCGAGAAACTAGGTGTCTTGGTATCGCTCGGGCGTGTGCATGTTTCCTTCGGCGAGGACCATCGAGGAGCATCCTTGATCATCTGGCGAAAAAGCCACGCACGGAACCGGAAAAAGCACAGGGAATGGACGTCCGAGCGATGGCCAGTGTGTACGGAGAGCGTTCTGGGCAGACGGTGCCAATGCCGAGCCACAGGCGGTTCGGGGAGCCAGGCAGTCGTTGTTGCTGTCTGTCTGCTCGCTCAGAGCACACGCCCAGGGCAGCGAGGCCTGTTGGTGCCTGCTGCGCCACGACCCGCAGCTGGAGCCGTCAAATTACAGAGTGCATTGTTGGAGGCCTGGAAACTGGCAACAACACCAGCACAGGAGGTTTGCTCCACGCGCGGAAGATAATCCTAAATTTCGGTGTTGGTGGTAATATTTCGGTCACCTTGGAAACCAGAATATCACCACCATCACCGAGATCGTGATCGCCTTCCCTCGGTGGAGGCACACCGCCGATCTTGGTGTCGGTGTCAACCTCTAGGCCTGCGACATTGAGAATGCCCGCGCAACCGGCTGCCCTGACTGACCAGCATGGCGACCACCTTGCGCGTTCCGGAAGAATATTGGAACGAACATTGACATAAACATAAAAAACTCGGAGGTCCGCGCGGATTTCTCGGATCGGCGCTGGAGCATCTTGGCGGCGCCTCCGGCGCCGCCCCTGGCGCGCTCCGCGCGCCATGGAGGGGGGTCCAACGCCGATCTGACAAACCCACGCGGACCTCTGAGTTTTTATGTTTATGCCATTGTTTGTTTCCCTCAAAAAGGGCCTCGCCCTTTCGCGGGCCTCGCTCCTGGGCGGAAGAGGCCATCGGAAGTAGGCTGGCGGCGCGGGCCCGCCGGCGGACGGTGGCGGAGGGCCAACGAGAGACTGCGGACGTAGAAGCGAAACGGCAACCCTCTTGTGATGGGCTTGTTTTCCACCACCACCACCATAAATTGGAGGGGGAGGGGGTCCTCCTCCTCCACCTCCTCCTCCTCCTCGTCCTCCTCCTCCTCCTCCTCCTCCTTCCCCCCTCCAACTCATGGTGGTGGTGGTGGAAAACAGGCCCATCATCTTGGTTCCAGAGTTCGGAGCCCCACATATGCGACCCACCAGCTTGTAGGCAGATGTCGTCTGCAAGAGCTGGCGCGTTTGGCAGATGCTCCCGCGCTTGTGCGCCCCACGACCTCAGGTCCCCGTTTTTGCCGCTCGCGGCGCCTTCCCCGCTGCATTATCTACCGCCTCCTCCGCCTTCCACCTCCTCCCCCTCCTCATCCTCCTGCCCTTTTCTTGTCCTCGCGATATTGATTACCCAGTCAGATTATACATGCATGCGCGTTTATCTGATATCTGACCGCCTTCGGCCCATCCGCCACCGTGCCTGGGTTGTGGATCAGAGTTGTCAGGGATGCGTCTTGCGGTCTCTTCGAAGCGCTTTCGGGGGCCTTTGGGGGCCTCTGGGGGGCCTCTTAGGGGGTATCTTGAGGCCGTTTGGGGGCCTTTTTGGGAGCCTCTTGGGGGCCCCTTGGGGCCTCTTGGGGCTTCTTGGGGGCCTCTTCAAGGCCTCTTGGGGATTCCTGGGGGCCCCTCAAGGCCGAGGGCTCGAAGTGTCCGTTCGGGTCCCACCATCTGGGCCCCCTCTTGGAGCCGTCTTTGGGGCTTCTTGGGCCGTCTTGGGCGCCTCTTTGGCCATCTTGGGGCCCTCCTGGACCGTCTTGGGGGTCCCTCTCGGGGGCCTCGTGGGCCGTCTTCGGGGGACAGCCGCGCCCCGCCGAGAGCATTCCCTTGGAGGGGCGGGCAGACGCTGCGCCCGAGCCCAGGGCAGACTCCAGCGGCCACGCGGCCGGGGCACGAAAACTTGCAGCACACGTGCAGCGCAGTCCTCTGCGAGTCCCCCCCCCGCCGCCAGCGGGGGGAATTGGAAAGAACCGGCCGGTGGGGCACAGGACAAGGTCGCCCCGGCTGCGCCAGGAAAGGCCCCAGGGCGAAGACGAAGGCGAGACGGGCGAGAGGGAGCGAGCAAGGGGGGAAGAGGAGAGAAGCAGCGGAAGGGGGCAGGAACAAGCGTGAAAATACGTGGGTCTTTTTCGCGCCAAAGCGGAAGAAGCGCGAAGACTCGTGGGTCCTGTCGTCACAAAGCGGAACAAGTGCGAAAACATCTGGGCCCTTCTCGCCCCAGAGCGGAACAAGCGTGAACGCACGTGGGTCATTTTCGCCCCTGAGCTGAACAAGCTTGAAAACACATGGGTCCTTTTCGCGCCAGAGCGGATGAAAAAGTCAAACAAGCGCTTCGCTCGAGATGTTCTCAACACATGCACATGCCAGAGTTCCGCCTGGGCGACCTGGACACGTGAAACCCTGCGTCCCGCTCGAGACATCTTCAACATATCCTCATGCCAGACATCTGCCTGGGCGACCTGGGCACGTGAAACCCAGCGTCTCGCTCGAGACATCCTCAACAAAATCCTCATGCTAGGCATCTGCCTGGGCAACCCCCCTCCTTTCCTTCCTCCGATCGCCGTTGTCAGTGGCCAGTGGCTGCCGTTTCCTCTTCTATCTGGACCTCGTGCCCCCACACGGGCACGCGCGAGACCAACCCAGCGTCCTGGAATCCTCCCTCCCCCCCACCAAACCTTCCAGAGACTCCTTGTCCTCTCCCACCCCCCTCGCGGCCGAGGCCATGGCGGACGGCATGCTGGCCGTGCGGGCGCACGCCGACGAGCTGCTGGCCCTGCTGCAGCTGAGCACCCTGGGCACCGAGAACAGCAGCCAGAGGCGCCCTCATCGGAGAGACGCTGCCTGTGTTCATCAGGAGGGGGAAAACAACACAGACACAATGAATCGTCGACTCCCAGGAAAGTATGGGAAAATATGGGAAGTGGGGGGAAGACGAAAATCCAGAAGATAGGGAACATTATGGGGATTTCTGGGATGTGTATGTGTGTGTGTGTGTCTTTATGTGTGTGTGTGTGTCCTTGGGCCTCTTGAATTTAGGCCGTCGGTGCTCGGGGCTCGTCGGCCATGCCTGAGCGTCGAGCTGTAGTCGTGTCGCCGAACGTGGGTGGGCCTGCAGATCAACAGGATCCCGCCTTCGGCATCGTGACTCGGTTGCGAGACTCGCAGTTCGGAACGTATCAGCCTTTCTGGGCTGACTTCCCTGATCAGTGAGCTCATGACTGGGAAGCCCGCGGGCTGCGGTTTCACGCGGGTCCAAGTGGGACATGACCCTTCGTGTGCTGCCGAGCGTACAGCTGTCTCTACTTTCCTGTGCCCCTCGCGAGGGTCCAGCGGAGTGCCTCCACACGCAGATCCGAGCGAGACATTCAATTCTCACCACTTCTCGCGGCCGTATCCACACGGGACTCTACCTCCCTGGGTGGTGCAAGGCATCGGGGTGGACGTCACAGAGATGTCTTCATGATTCAAGAGGATGAGCCCTTCTCCCATCTCCTCCCATCCACCTTCGCACGTCCTCGTCCAACTCCTCCACCCCTCTTCCCTACAAGTGACTGCCCCCCCGTCGCACCCCCAGGCGCGTCGGTTAGGCGGGCCGGGCGTTTCGCTTGAGACTGGTTCACAAAGTTTGATTTTGCAGCTTGAAGCCAACAAGTTCAATGATAGAGCAGGGGTTGGTTTTCAAAGTATGGCTCTAGCCTTGGCGCCGCACACTTTCATCACAAGGGCGGTCGTGTTCAAAAGTGAGCTCTCGCCGCCCCACCGCGCATATCCGTTTAACAAAACATGCACTTGATTTAAGGACAGAGGGCGGCGTTTTGCCAAGCCTTCCCAGCACACCTTGGGCGATCAGGGGGGTCATCGGAGACGTTCCAGAGACCCCCAAGACAGCACAAGAGCGCTCCAAGAGTGACCGACGTGACCTCAAGATGGCCCAAGAGGCCTCCAGGACGGCCGCAAAGAGGCCTCCGAGAGCACTCCCAAGAAGACCCCAAGAGGCAAAAATCATTGATTTTCTTTCTGGTTTTTGGTGAATGTTGGGGGTCCCCTCTTTTCGGCTTCCCGACGCTCCAAGACGGCGGTCTTCTGGGCGTCCGAAGTCGCCTGGGAGGCTCCAAAATCGCCCCACAACCATCCGAAAGGGCTTCCAGGGAGTCCTAGAGAGCCCCAAAACGGCACAACACGGGTCCAAGATGGCCCTCAGAGAGCCCCATGGCGGCCCAAGATGGCCCCAAGACACCTTCCGAAGCATTCCAAATCGTGACCCAGTCGTTCAGGGAGACCGCGCGGTTGGAGGCAGGGTTGCCCGAGGAAGCCCCCAGAGGCCCCCAGAATACGCCCAGGAGCCCTCCAGAAGGCCTTGAGAAAGCCTGAAACAACTTTTGCGAGGCCCCCAGAGGCTCTCCAAGGAGGAGCCCCCGCAAAAAAGAGCTGAGGAGGATGAGGAGAATGCGCAGGGCATTGCGAAAATTAGGAAAAAGAAGCATGGAGGAAGGATAAGAAATAACATTATTATAGCGGCGATGCCGGAAAAAGGCAACAAGGAGCTATCGCTAAATTGTCGGCTTGACCTTCCTGGTATTCTGCCTGCATACCAAAGTTCGAAGTACCAAGGTGCATGGCGCGAAGCGCCTCTGTAGTCTTGTATATCTATATCTATATATATATATGTGTGTGTATAGATATAGATGTATGTATGGCCAGTGTTGAGTTGTTGTGCCTGGAGGCAGTTGTAGGAGGGCGCGCCTGGGCCGAACAGCCGGAGCCCCCGACCTGGGAGCCCAAAGCTGTGCCCTCCTGGAGCCCCGGGCCTACGAGATTCTCAGTGTGTCTGCCCTCTCGTGTCGACTTGCGCATTCTATCAGTGCGAACTCGACTTGAGCATTCGACGCGCGGATTTCTTGGATCCGCGCCTGGGCCCCCGGCGGCGCCTCCAGCGCCGCCCCTGGCGCGCTCCGCGCGCCAGGGAGGGGGGCCCAGCGCGAATCCAAGGAATCCGCGCGGAGCGCCAAAAGTTTATGTTTATGTGGTATTTTCTTTTTTCTAGAGGAATCTGATTAGCCAGGTTCGGTTCTTTACATGCCTGGTTGCGTGGCACTCCAGGCGTGGGGGGGGGGGGGGGCAGGCGCAGCAACTGTCCCAGAGGCCATCGAGCGTTTCTCAGGAAAGATGTGGACCGCACCTTCCGAACATCCAAAAAGACAGTGGAACCCCTGGCCTGGTGCGATGTGTTCAACACAGGCGGCGTTGGATTCCACATTCCCCTCCCTCGGGTTTCGTACTGATGAGGGTGTGTCCGGCCGCTAGGAGTTGTCCAGGTGTTTTGCCGATTCTGCCGCCATCTCAGTTGACGTTCCTAAGCTCGGCCCTGATCTTGCTGTCCAAAGAACAGCTCGTGCAATGTCCAGGACAGCGCGAATCCGAATTGCGATCAGCCCTGAGCGTGCAAGTGGTCAGAATGATCCGTGGCTCGCGCTCGAGAACCCAGCTCGGAGTCTCAAGAAACATGGCAGGACGACGCGGTGTCGTCTGCTCTGCTCCTCCGCCTCCTGCCCCCCCTGCGCCTTTGTCAGAGGCAGGGCTGGTTCGACATGTGTTAAGAAGAGAGCGGGCCACAGCTGCTCGCCGTCTTTTTGCACTAAGGAGGGAAAAAGCACAGACATAATTAATCGTCGATTCCCAGGAAAATATGGGAAAATATGAGAAGTGGGGGGGAAGACAAAAACCCAGAAAATATAGGACAATATGGGGAATCCTATTATTTGTGTGTATTTACTTGTGCGTCCCAGGGCCCCTTCGTTCTCCCCCTCCCGCTCCGGCCTGTCTCTCCCACCCCGTCACTTCCGGGCCGCCCCCTCCCAGGTGCTTCACCCACCCGCGCGGCTTCCCCGAGGCCCAGCCCGGCGCCAGCACGCGCCCGCCGCACGGCGATTCGATTTGCCGGCTGGGGTGAGCCGCTTAGCCAGAACCGGTCGCGGCGACTTGATGTCGATTCGATTCGTTGGGAACCGATCCGATTCAGCGACTCGATTCATTTTAGGCCTGCGTGCTCTCTCTCCCTCTCTCTCTCTCTCTCTCCCTCTCTCCCTTCCTCTCTCTCTCTCTCTCTATTGTTCTCTCCCTCGCCCTTCAGATCCAGGCGTTGACGGCGCACAGCAGATCGCGGCGGCAAGTTGTTCAACGTGTTTTGGGATGTGGAGACCGTTTCCTTGGACCTCGGACCGTTAAGAAATGGCTCGGGATGCCAATCCGCCCCCAGGGAGAAAGGATGGAGATCCGCGGGGGGCGACTTCACGAGCAGCAAACATGCGACGTCGGAGGAGAGCTGCTCTCTCTCCCTCTCTCTTTTCTGCACGCACGAAATGGGTACTGAAAGAATGGGTACAATGCCCAACAGCGGATCTTGTTCAGTTTGAACAGGGCTCGCTGTCCACGCCGCCGCGGCCTGTGTCCATTCGAGACAGGAGGCCGCCTGCCCAACAGCGGCCGCTGCTGGTTTGGGACAACATTTGCTGTTGGGCATAGTACCCATTTTTTCGGTACCCATTTCGGGCGTCCAGATCTTTCCCTCCCTCTCGCTCTATCTCTCCTCTCGCGGAGGCCGACGGGATGATCCGAGGAGATCCCGGCCGCCGGTGACGGACGGGGGAGGGGGCAGGGCCAACGGGGGCCAGCCAGTCTTTCCTGGCCTGCCCGGGCTTGGGAGCCACCCGGGGCCGACCTCTCCTCCTCCTCCTCCTCCTCCTCCTCCTCCTCCTCCTCCTCCTCCTCCTCCTCGTCCTCCACCAGCCTCCAGCCTCCCTCCTCCTCCTCCTCCTCCTCCTCCTCCTCCTCCTCCTCCTCCTCCTCCTCCTCCTCCTCCTCCCCCTCCTCCTCCTCCTCCTCCTCCTCCTCCTCCTCCTCCTCCTCCTCCAAGCCCACGATGGCACAGGCACACGGCCGACCCCCCCTCCCCTCTTTCCGCTGCCTCGGGTCGGAGAGCTGCTGTGATGAGGCTGGCCAGAGTTCGCGACTTGGCCTTGGTTGATCTTTGCTAGCGTTGAGGTGAACGCTGACTCGAGCGGCGCGATTTGGAGTCCGGTTGCCTTCATCCCGACGTCGCCAGCTTTGCCAGTTTCGTTCTGGCGGCCTCCCAGGAGGCTGACTTCAGTCGGGGTGTCCGAAAGGAGGGGAGGGGAGGAAAAGGGGAGTTCCGAACATTGCTGCGCGCAGCTGGTTTCGGTTCTACTGCCAGGCACTTCCCTCGATGCACGGCCACTCACGGAGCCTTCTCCTCCTCCTCCCTCGAGCGGGCCTTCGATGCTGGTCCAGACTATCACGATCTCTGTCTTCAGGCCTCCTCCCCAGATGAGGCGTGGGCTCGCTGGATCACCACGGTCTACGGGGTTGCGGAGCAGCACTTCGGCAAGCATGCGGGTGTGAACCTTCGCGCCCAGGCTTTTGCTGCGGAGCGCTCTCGTCTCCTTGCTGAGCGGTGTCGCATTCGGGAGGCGGACGGCGACGACGAGCAGGTGTGCATGGCCCTTGCGAGGGCCTCGCGACGGCTTCGAGTGCTACGGCGCTCTCGTCTGCAGGAGGCCACGGAGGAGCTCGTCCATGAGATCGGCGAGGCTTGGCAGGCGCGCCGTCACGCCGAGGTATGGAGGCTTGCACACTTACTGGCAGGCAAGTGCGGAGGCCCACGTCACAGGAAGTATAACGTTGCTGAGGAGTTCGTGCCGAGACGTGACGAAGTGCAGCAGTACTTCTCTCTTCCTGGCCCCGAGGGCGGTCTGCGAGCAGAGCCTGTCGACTTCGACGCCTACCAGAGGGACCAGATGTCCCGTCTTCCTCCACCTCCGATGCTGGGACTGGATAACTTTGCGCACGTGGAGGAGGGGAGGGACGACTTGAGGGAAGTGACGGAGCTGCTCGAGCGCGCGCCGCGCAGGAAGTCGGCGCCAGCCCATAGCGTGCCGTGTGAGGTGCTGATGCTCACGCTCGACCCCAACCGCAGGTTCGACGGTTCCCACAGGAAGCCACGAAAGAAGAAGGACGGGGAGGGCGACGACGACGGCGGCGAGGAGGGAGTTTCTGCTCAGCGTGCCGACTTCGCCCCGCGGCATCGACTCGCTGGCGACCGCCGCGGACTGGGTGCTGACACTCCTTCCTTTGAGAACCCTGGGACCCTGAAAGCTATCCAGAAGATTTGTCATCATGTTCGACGTGTTGGCCGTACTCCGATTGTCTGGCATCATTCCCGTGCCACAGGTCTCTCGAAGTGCAACGGCAAGGCAGGCTTCAGTGCTAGGCGGTATATTCACGGTTTGTGCCGCATGGGCGTGATGTGGTACAAGGCCCTCCTTCGTCGTGGAGCTGCTGACTCTGAGCCCGATCGCGAGCACGGCTACTTGCCAGGCAGGAAGCGCGAGGGGGCCATCATCTGCCAGGAGGCGCTGCTGGCTCGCCTACGGGCCAGGGGCATCTCCACGATCACGTCGAAGGAGGACATGTCGAACGCTTTCGGCTGCACGCCCTTCAGCGAGCTGCGGGAGACGGTGCGTGACGCCGTCTTGCCGCAGGACCAGACCTTCCACCAGCGGCACGAGCTGGCGACGTTCACGATCCAGGCGGCCGATGGCGAGCAGACGTTGCATAACCAGGTTGGGGCTTTCATGGGCGACAGCCCCGCGGCGGTGTTCTTTGCTCGCACCTTCCGACGCCCTGTCCAACGATGGTTGGATCGGCTTCGACAGGCCACCTGGTGCGATGTTCCTGCTCCACCTCGGCCTGAGACCCACGAGGAATGGGTCTCGCAGCGGCTGGTCCCACCGGTGCCGCCTGACGACCCTGATCGTGTGATCTGGCCCAGCGAAGCACTGTGCACGGCCTGGACGCCCTTTCTTCAGCGACCTGTTGATTTATCCTGTCGAATCTATGCGGACGATACGTCCCGTACTCATATCGTCACGTCTGCACGAAATGCTCAGTATACCTTATCTCGTGCTCACCTTTTCTTGCGCGAGGAGCTGGCTTGCAGCGGGTACGCTCACAATGCAGAGAAAAGCAGCGTGTCTCCCTCCTTCGTGGGCCCTGGGGCACATCGTCATTTGTCGGAGCTCTTCAGTGGCAGGACCCCCGTCGACGGTCGCGTGCAGTTCGACAACATTGCTCTTGGGATCTCTACCTCAGTCAACGGGGGAGTGCAGAGTGAACTTCGTAGGCGAGTCGTGGCATGCCGCAGGGGGTTTTACGGTATGGGCCGTTTCTGGAAGCAAAATAGGGTATGGCGGTTCACCCGCACTGTGTTTGGATCGGTTGTGCAGGGCGCTCTTCTATCTGGATTGACGGTGCTCGTGCTGACTCCCACTCAAGAACGTCGTCTCGATCGCGTCCTCGTTGGTTTCGCTAGGAAGATCTTGGGAGGCGACGCGTGCAAAAAGCTCGAGGTTGTCGATTCCGAGGGGGGCCCCGTCCGCGACTCGAACGATAAGCCCATCCTCAGATACAAGGCCAACTCCGATGAGGTCGTCCTCAGGCGTGTCGGCGTGGCTCCTGCAGGCACTGAGTTGATGGTGAGGCGCCTGCGCATGCACAGGCGATGGCTTCTGGTCCCACGCACCCATGCTCAGGAGTTGGGATCCGTTTTCGGCCAGCTTCCCGTGGACCCTGGGCCGACGATCCTGGCGAACGGCTGTCTGTCTCTGGAGGCGAACGCTTATGCGCAGCGGTTCGTCGCCGATGTCGCGAAGTTGTTGAAGAGGTCTGAGGGGGAGGAGGGACTCTTGGAGGACCTCTTGATGGGCGCGGAGGGGGGCGAGAGGTTTCGGTTCAACGTCCGTGCGTTGTTTATGGACCAGGACGTTCGGGAACGTTTTCTTCGTCTGGATCCTGGGGCGCTCAGGGCTGCTGCTCGTACCGTGGCCATCGCGCCACCTCCTGGCCTCTACGGACCCCCTGGGACGGTCCCTGGTGCTCCTGAGGGCGCTGATGTACCTGACCCCCCTGCTCCTCTCTGGGTATGTGGCCTCAAGGACTCCACGGGCGCTCCTTGCACGCGTACTTTCACTACACGTCGGGCACTACTGGCACACCAGAGATTCTCGAAGGCTGGCGGGCACAGTTGCAGATCGATTGCGCACAGTATGACAATCACGAACGAGTGCATATATTGCAGGCAGAGCTTCCGCACGAGACGCATAGCACAGGAGCACACGGTAACAGCGGTATTGCACAACAGATGCCCGCCACGAGCTACACCGTATGCGCACGACGTGATCGAGCCAGGAAGTCTCACGTGCCCTTTTTCGCTGATAACTCGTGCGTCACTGTGGAGGGATGGTTTGAATGCTCACGATGCCATGTATGCTTGCTCAAGTACCGAGGTTTTCGCTAATCGCGATCTGCTCTACGCCCACATTCGTCAGTGCCGTCAGCTACGCCGCCCACACTACTTTCGGGATGTTTCGCCTGAAGGAAGAGGATCTCGAGGCGGCGGCGACCCGCAGCCGCTCGCAAGGACGAGGCGAGAGAGCCAAAGGGCGACAAGACCGCTCTGGCTCAGCGGCTGCCCCCCGCGGTCGTGGAGGGAGACGCGGACGACGTGGCGCGGCGGACCGCGGCAGTCGGCCACCTCGGCGCCAGCCCGCGGCCGCTTCGGGCGCCGCCGCGAGCGGCGCCTCGGCGGAGGCGGGGGGGAGCGCCAACGACGTGAAGATGGCGGTGGGCAAAGCGCACGGCCTGCCAGACGACACACTCGAGAAGCTGCCCGCGATGACGCAGACCACGGTTGCGAAACTCATGCCCGTGCTGGTCAAGGCAGCGCTTGGCAACTCGTTCATGATCAGGCAGATGCCGTCGGCCACCTACCAGACGGTGATCTTAGAGGAGTCCTCGGAGATTGCGAAGGCCGCCTTTCAAGCGGGGCGCGCCTACGCCACGAAGGCGGCGGCGATGCGCGAGGCATGGAAGCTCGACAACTCCAAGCCGCTGCCAGAGGCGGAGATGGGCCCTGCTCACGTTCAGGTGTTTTTGGTCACTGCCGACGCACTGAGCAAAGCTGGGGAGAAGGTCGGAGTTCGGAACAAGGGATTGTGGGAGCAGCAGAAGACCAAGCTCGATCAGATCACCAGCATGACGGACATGGGCCTGCTGGTGCGCGGATTTCGTATCAGCCAGTGCTACAAGGAGGGCAACGCGAAGCTTCTGTTCGCGCTCGCGGACGTGGAGTTGACAAAGATATTCACGGATTGCGTCGTCCAGTTGGGCGGCGAGATCAAAGCAGGAGTGGCCCCGAGATCCAACGTCGAGCGGATCTTGCAGTTGGCGATCGACGATTGGGAGGACTCGATGCTCTGAAAGGTGCGACGGAGTCGATGACGGGGTCTACTCTGACGGGTGCGACTGAGTCGGTGGCGGTGTCGCCTTCGACTGGTGCGACGGCGTCGGTGGCGGGGTCTACTCTGACGGGTGCGACGGCGTTGGTGGCGTTGTCGCCTTCGACTGGTGCGACGGCATCGGTGGCGTTGACGACTCCGACTGGTGCGACATCGCCGGTGTCGGGGTCAACGCGACAGAACGTGGATGCGACCCCTGGCGTGGGTCGGCTCCACACAGGGAGGGGATCACCTGCGCCAAGGGCTGCCTCTGAGGGCGAGTTCGAGAGCCAGGCACCGTCCCGACTTGTCGCTCCCCTTCCTCATCCTCCCTCCGCCCCGAGACAGTACAGTTTTAAGGAGTTAGTTCGAATGGTCACTGGTGGACCCAGGTAGTCTCGCTTTCGGGCCGTGGGACTCCTGGCCGTGTTCTGGATAGTGGGCCGTCGTCCTTCCTGCTTCAGGTGTCTTAGTTGACGGGTTCTGGCCCTGGCGGCTCCGTCTACTAGGTGCTCGCTGCAGGGAGTGCGGTGTGCTTGAATTCGCCTCGTGTTCAGCCTTGGTCGAGCGATCAATCAGTCGGGGCTCCCGCCGCGGGGGCCTGCACTCGCAGTACTACTAGCGCACGGTAGGTCGCACAATTCGAAATTCGTTTCGATTGCTGTCTTGTCGGAGTTATGCTCGACTCGGCCCGTTACCGCTTCGCCGCCGCCGCCCCCTCCTCCTCCACCAGCCTCCAGCCTCCCTCCTCCTCTTCACCCCTTCTCTTCCTCCTCCTCCTCCTCCTCCTCCTCCTCCAACCTGCAGTCTCCCCTCCTCCTCGCCCCTTCCTTCCCCCTCCTACTCGTCCTCCACCAGCCTCCAACCTCCCTCCTCCTCTTCCTCCCTTCTCTTCCTCCTCCTCCTCCTCCTCCTCCTCCTCCTCCTCCTCCTCCTCCTCCTCCCCCTCCTCCCCCTCCTCCTCCTCCTCCTCCTCCTCCTCCTCCTCCTCCTCTTCTCTGCTCTGCTCAGAAGGAAAAGTCTAGCGGTGCCAGACTGGCCTAACCTGCGGGCACGCAGGACCTACCCCGAGGAAACGAACTGAGACAGCCTACCTCTCCTCGACCTCGGGGCCCGACAAATTCCCCCACAACGGGAAGGGGAGCCCGCAGTACTCGTTTGACTGGGGCTCCCGTCCTGACCTTAGCCGTCCCAATCCCGACCGAGCCAGACGGGCCGCCGACCGCGGACGGGAGGACAAGGGACGGCAGGGACGGCTAAGGTCATGGACCTGGCGCCTGGCGTACGCGCCACAAACTCTGCAGAAGACGATCACACGACTCCCCTCGCAGTCTCTGCCCAAGGACCCGCCACCCCGATCCCGACGCACAACCCAGAGCCTGTGGGAGGAGTCGGCGACCGCAGCGGGCCGTGGCATTCCTGGGCAGGGTGAGCAGACTATACGCGATCGCAGCCCCTTCCTCACCCCGCATATACTACAGCCCCAGGCCCTCCCCATCCTACGAAGCGAGTGCCCGTTCCCACCAGAAGCGAGGACCAACGAATTTCGTAGGGACGGCCTGGGTCGAGGAAGGGGGGCTCGATCAGGCCAGCTCAACCCCGCCAATTTTTTCAGCAAGGCGCCGTGGTGGACGGCGACGGTCTCAGCGGCACTGGCGGCCGCCCGCACCGACTCTGCCAGCGCCATCACCTCAGAGAAGGCTGGGTGAAGCCTGGCCCCGTCCTGGGACCTGTCGTTCGCGAGTTTGTTCCCGCGATGCCAGGCCCACGGCGTCCCCGCTGCCTGAGCCAACGCCCAGCTGGCGTGGGCGCGCGCCCACTGGAGGCTGAACCCTCCTGGCCCCAAGTCGTTCACGTAGCGCCAGACCTCCTTCCACAGGTCCGCGTGGAGCGAGCTGGCGGCCACGCACCAGGAGTCCTCGCCCTTCTCGTAATCCTGCACCAGCCACAAGTAGTCGGTGACCACGTCCAGCTGAGGCCCTTTCTCCTGCAGCGCCCGCGTCAGCGCGTAGAGCTCTGCATAGCCGCTCTCTTGCACCAGCCCAGGGACACTGCCGAACATCGTGCCAACGTCGGTGCCGTCGGCCTTCACCATCACGACCGCCCAGCCGCTCCTCGTCAGCTCGGCGAGGTCGGGGGCAAAGGCGGGGCCGTCTATGCAGACGGTGCCGCAGACCAGCCCGCTGCGGAGAGCACCGCCTCTGCGGCACTCCTCCTGCATGGCTGGTCGAGGAGCCCGCTCGAGCCCCAAGCTGACCAGGCACCTGATCAGCCCGATGTCGCCGGCGGGGGCCGCTGCGCCAGCCTTCCTGGCGGCGGTCAGGTCGAGGCCAGCTGCCACATCGGCCGCGCCATCGCAGCCGAAGAGGCGGTGCTGTGGCGCGCCCTGCTCCGCGCCGCACAGCACGCACAAGGGGCTCAGCACCGACCTCTCTCTATAGCGGACTGACTGCCGCCACCAGCCCTCCGCACACCAACGATTCAAAGAGGGCCACCTGCTCGTCGTCGCTTCTCCTCCGCAGCGCAGCAACCGTCTGCTGGGTGACGTGGGTGGTCGGCGGCCCGCCGAGCGCTCCTCCGAGGCGCTCCTGGTCCAGCCTCCTCATCAGCGAGCGCTGGATCCCCGCCTCGACGAGCTGCCGCACTCTCCTGGGGCTCCTGACCTTGAGGTCTATCAGGTCCCCCTGGTCCGTGGTCCAGGCATCCCAGCTGACAGCCTCCCTCCCGATCCTCTTGAGGGTGAGTTGGGCCGCCCCTGCCGGCCCTCGCACTTGGCCCCAGGACTCGGGCCACGCCGCCTCGAAAGAATTGGCCAGGCTCGGGCCACTGCGCAGCCTCAAGTAGACGGCCTTCGCCCACGCTTCCAGCGGCAAGCTGTTCGCCGCGTAGCAGGGGTCCGTCCTCCAGCCCTTGTCGGGCAACACAGCGAACTGCAGCGTCCTGCTCTTGCTGCCCACCGCTCCTGCTAGCGCCTGGCCATTGACAGCCCTGGCCTTCTCGAGCGTCGCCGTCGGCACTCCGACGGCTCTGGCCCCGTGGAGAACTGAGGCCAGGCCTCCACACCTGAAGATCTTGCCCAGCTTGGCCCCCGTGCGCTTGAGCGCCACGTAGCGGGACGCCCGCGCGGAGAGCTTCGCCATGCGGCTCCGCAGCACCGACCACGAAGCTCTGGCCTTCATGCTGAAGTCGATCCCCAGATTTTTGACCGCCTTCTTTAGCCTGAAACCCCAGCGTCGCAGGCGATGAGCCGTGCGACGCCCTGCCCCTTCGTCGCTGGACACGACGCTCCCCTTGGCCAAGGAGATCTTGAAGCCCAGCGCCTCCAACCTCTGGCAGAGGTCCCTGGTGGCGCCGAAGCCCGTGAACTCGACGTCCCTCAGCTTCCCGCACGCCGCCAGCGTGATGTCGCCCACCACCGTGTAGGCGCGAACCGACTGCCACGCGGCCACCACCGCGCCCATCGCCGTCAGGAGGACGACGCGCAAGAGGGTCGTGGCGAACGCGCAGCCCGCCACGATGGAGCCGCCGAGCTCGAGCGATTCCGTCTTCCACCTGCTGAGGCAGAGTTGCCTCGGGCCTCCGTAGCTGCGGAGGATTAGCTTCAGCCTCCGAAGCTTGAAGCCGTGCCTGCGAGCTGCCGCCGCCAAGCCCTCATGTGAGACCCTCTCGTCCGCCTTCGAGAGGTCCGCCATCGTCGACAAGGAATGCTGCCCCATGGCCGCCGCAACGTTCGCGTCGTGGGCCTGGAGCCAAAGCGCGTCCTCGCATGACTTCCCCGCCTCGCCGTAGAAGTTGTCGCGCCTGTGCATCGACTCCCACTCGACGGCGTCGGTCCTCCGAATCCTCCCCGGCAGGCGGACGAGGCTGCTGGGGAGACCTATCGGCCTCCAC